GGGGGGGGGTGTCTCCTTTGAGGGGCACTGGCCCAAGGGGCAGCACTGGATGATGCTGGGTGGGTGAGAAATTAATCTAAGGCCGGAGGAGGGAACAATCCCTCAAATCTCGGCACTGGGCCTGGGTTTTATACTGGATGATCCTGGAGGGGGTGAGAAATGCAGCCCATGGGAGGGGCAGCTGTCAAGGGGGTGGTGCTGGAGGAGGGACTATAGAGGTGCCAGCAGGCTCAGGTAGGAATCCCAGGGGTCCCTAGAGAAGGCGGTAGAGGTTTCTGGGAAGAGGGAGATTAAAATTGCCAGCCTAAGGATTGGGGGTGGGGTAGAAGTTGGAGGGAGAGTCCCCTAAGGACCCTGTGCCGTCTCTCTGCAGGAGTGAGGGGGAGAAATTCAGCTTTGAGATTTTGAAATTATATGGAGGGGAAGGATTCTGAAATAGAAGTTGAGACCAGGACCTCAGGGCCAGATTAAGAAAGGGGTTTAGGGACTGCAGCCAAGGGCCTTGGGCTAAGGGGGCCCCAGAAAAAAGCTCTCAAGCTGCAAAAAAGGCTACATTCTTTGGGATCTCTCCTTAGCTCGGGGCCCTGGGTTGCAGCAGCTGTATGTTACCCAACCCTGCTTGGCTGGGGGGTAGGCAGCTCTATGTGCTACTGTCCCCACAGTGGGATGGAGCTGCATCACCACGAATGCCAGGGGAAGCTCTGTCTCTGCGCTGCCCTTGCCTGCAGGCTCCATCCTCACCGCAGCTCCTATTGGCCAGGAATCATGACCAACGGGAGCTGCAGGGAGTGTTGCTTACAGGTGAGCACAGGTTATTGTGGGCTGTGCTGAACCACCTGCTTTCCTCCCTCCCCAAAGGGAAGCTGCACTAGGTAAACTCCAACCTCCTGTCCCACTCCTGAGACCCCCTCCTGCACCAGATCCCTCACCCCACCCCATCTTCCTGTCCTGATCCAAATCCCTTGGCTGTAGCCTGGAACCCTTCCTGCACCTCAAACACCTCCTCCCCAACCCCCCCCCCAGAGCATGCACCCCCAGTCAGAGCCCTCACTCCCTCCTGCACCCACCTTCCTGCCACAACCTGCAGCTTTCTCCTGCATTCAGAATCCCTCATTTTTGGCCCTACCCCAGAGTGTAGGTCCCCAGAAGACTTAATCTGGCCCTGCGGGGGCCTTGGACTGTTTCTCAATCAAATAAATCTGCCTGCTGATTGAGGTACAGAGGCCATTTAAAACAAGTCCTGCTTTTCTCTGTTATTGCTATCTGTACAGGAGATGTCGGCCCTATACCTGTCTCTTTTCTATAGATATTTAGGCCTCTACTAGAGAGATTCATTGAAGAGTCTCATTATGGGACTGCGGCACCTGCATTCAATGCATGGCTACATAATGATCTGTCTTTTTTTTTTCTCTCTTCCCCCTAAACAGTGTTTGACCAAAAGAATTCCACAGAATCCTAAATATCAACACATAAAATCTCGCCTTGACACAGGTAAGTGGAAACAACATTTTGTGTAAGAATCAGTTAATCAGGTGTCAAACTGTATCAGAGTGTAAACAACAAGGAGTCCGGTGGCAACTTAAAGACTTAAAATTTTATTAAAAATAAATGTTGTTATAATAAAATTGTTAGTCTCTAAAGTGTCACCGGACTCCCTGTTTTTTGTACCAGAGTGCATTACGTTATTCTACCTGCCTGTGTTCAGCCAGTTATTTAAAATGTGCACCGAAGTAACTTCAAATCTGTGGTCATAATTGGCGCGCCTCAACTGTCTGATGTCAGACCTCTGATGTAACAATGCTGATTAAAATTCATGAGCCTGACTTTTCTAGTGTATTCCTTTTGTTTAGCAGCTATTTTATGTGTGATTTGAAAATAAAACTAGTGCTTTAAAGGCACCTGTTACATTTCCCCTTTCTATTTCCCTATCCTTTTCCTTATTAACACAGAATTATTTGTGTGTTTCATGTGACTTGTCTAATGAGTTTTTTACAATGTCTTAAATAATGAGACAAAATACAGGACTATGTAGCACTTTAAAGACTAACAAGAGGCTTCTCTTGTAAATCATGCTACCAGCTAATAGGTGCCTGTTAAATTTTTTCCCTGATTATACAACCTAAACTTTTGCTGCATCAGGCCACGTTTATACTAGTGAGTAGATTGACACTGGCTGTCAATCTTCTGGTGTTCAATTTAGCGGGTCTAGTAAAGACCCACTAAATCAAATGCGGAGGACGCCCGGTACTCCTTACTTCACAAAGAGTAAGGGAAGTCGACAGGAGCCTTTGCACGTTCCTGCTGTGAAGTTGGCTCAAAAGATTGACTCCAGCTATGCATTTAACGTAGCTGGAGTTGTGTATCTTAACTTGAACTTTCAGGTAAGTATACATGTGGCCTCATTTTCATTCCACTACAACTAGTTATGCCCCATTGGACCATCCTAAGTTATTTTCTTGCCTTGTTTTTTTGTTACCCTCTTCTCTATCTTAGCAGTCATTTAATAGCCAGGCTCTGCCTGTTGTGTGATGGTTCTTTAAAATTCATAATGCAAATGTACATATGAATAGGCTTTATTTTGGGGAAGTTCTGTGTATGGAATGTGTTAGAACAGCAGGTCAGAACACAGTGGTATCTTCTTAAGTAAATGTACAGCTGTGGTTGGGGGCGTGCATGGGATGAGTTACCATGTGACTGACTATAGAAGTGTTGGTCCTATGTAATCTTTAGCTATTTACATCCTCAAACTGCTGCCCAAACATTGATCATCATGGCTCTCCCAGGGTGGTAGGTGCACAAATATTCCCATTTTATGTTTTTTGGGGAAACCAAGGCACAGAGCAGTTAGGTCACAGTGAATTGGAAGCGGAGCTGGGACTAAAACCTAGATCTCCTGAGTCCTGTGTTCTAGCTTTTCATTTTCCCCTTCATAAGAACATAAAAATGGCAGTGCTGGATCAGACCAATAATCCATCTAGCCCAATATCCTGCTTTCCGACAGTGGCAAATACCAGATGCTTCAAAGGGAATTAACAGAACAGAGCAGTCATGAGCTGATCCATCCAGTCCCAGCATCTGGCATTCAGAAGTTTAGGGACACTCAGAACAGGAGATTGCATCCCTAATCAATTTGGCTAATAGACATTTAAGGAACTGTCTATCTCCTCTGGATTCTCAAGAATCTAACCTTGGTCCTCTTATTTTATCCCATTATGAATGTTATTGGATGTTGTTTCTATGGCAGATGCTCCCAAATGCACCTCCCTAAAATGGGTATAAAATACTTGAAATGATTAAAGCCTCTGTTTATCAGGGGCTGGAAATGGATGACAGGGGAGAGATCACTTGATGATTCCCTGTTCTGTTCACTCCCTCTGGGGCATCTGATATTGCCCGCTGTTGGAAGACAGGACACTGGGCTAGATGGACCTTTGGTCTGACCCAATATAGCTGATCTTATGTTCATACAGTGTAAGAAACAAACAGAAGGCAGGTAAAGAATTAACCGAATGCTGGGTTAAGGGGATGGGTTTTCAGTTTCTTCACATTTTCCTGGGTTAAAAGGAACCAAATTTCACAGTCTCTTCTTGACCACGCACTAATCCCTGTTAAAAATGCACCAGAGACTGAACTGTTTGACTTAAGTACGAGCACCCTCTCAATCTACCTTTTTAGCCTATCTCAGACCTTATCTTAGGAGCCAATTTAAAAATCTAACCTCCTCATCCAATTCTTTTCCTTCATCTCTGTTATCTCAAATCCCCCATCGGAACCTCCAGGTACTATTAGAAGTCATCTCCTTTTTGAGTCTGTTCTCACCTAAGTCCCTATTTGTATCTTAATTGCTTGCTTAACAGGGCATTTGCAACAGTCACGTCCCAGAGGGGTCGCCGTGTTAATCTGTATCTTTAAAAACAACGAGTAGCCCCGTGGCACCTTAGAGACTAACAAATATATAAATAGTATCAGTAGTCTTCCTTTCACTCCACTGAGGGAATCTAAAATACAGCAGCCAAGATGCATTGCTTATTATGGAACCAGAACTATATTGCTTACCCGTCAGATGTTCCTTTTCCATCTCAGGATATGTCTATGCTAGAAATGCTAAGCACTGCGGTAGCACTGCCATATAGTTGGGAATTCTTCTGTCACTAGTAAATCTACCTCTCTGAGGGGCAATAGCAATGGAAGAATTTTTCCACTGGCCTAACAACTCCTACACCTCAGCTTTGGCTGGCTCAGTTAATGTTGCACATGGCACAACATTTTTCATAGGCCTGAGCAATATAGTTAAGCCAGCCTAACATTGTCGAGTAGACCCGCCCTCAGGTTTTGGCTGTGTCTACATTGCAGCTGCTACACAGCCCAGCTATAGCACTTGCTATGGCAACGGAAAGGGGTTGCTATTGCTGTAGTTAATCCACCCCCTCAACTAGGTCTCTCAGGGAGTGGGAACTTTTCACACTGCCTATGTTTTAAGTGGAGACTGGTCCTCTGGTGGATATGACCTGGTATGAACGGTGACTGTACTTCCACACACTTTAGACATTTATTATAAACTCTGTAGATCATGGTAGTGCTTAGCAGGCTTTGACTACTGAACAAAACCAACTAAGCTTCAGTCCCTCTGGGAGGTAGGAGTAAGTAGGATTGGGGGAAATTCTGATCCATTACACTGGTGTAAATCAAGAGTAACTCTGGAAGTCAAAAAGTTACTCTGCATCGTTGCCCCTTTATTATAGGAATCATGAAAGAAAAGGACAGAGCCAGGAATAGAACTCCAGAATGCTGACTCCCAGTCCCTTCCGCTAATCACATTGTAGAGGTCCAAAATAACATCCTTTTGGAGGATGGTTCTCCATTCTGCAAACCACACGTGTTTAATGGGTAGGGAAATTCTGGGTGGAGCCAGTAGCCTGCAAACAGGCCCTCAGCACTTTCAAGTATGCTGCTGGTTTGGGGTTTTTTTTGTTTTGTTTTGCAGACTGTGGATGTCTTTGTATCACTTGACTGCAAATCCTGCTAATAAACTAAGTGGAATGCTCACTGGCTTACTGCATAGCTTGTAAATCCTAACTACCCACTGATCCTCCTAAAGCCTTTCTCTCCCAAGTATTTACAGGCTTGGACCTCTTGAGCAGTGCCCATTGCATGGCTGCTTGCCTGAGGCTGTTCTCTCTGACCTGGCTGTTCAGCTAACCTCCGCTCCCCCCGCTCCCCATCATGAGCGATGGTTATTAAGAAGAGAAACTCCTTCCTTGTTGCTTTTGCCATTGCGTGGACTCATTATCATGGTAAAGGGGGAGCCTGGAGCAAGCATTGCTTCTCCCAGCATTGTCAGGCTGGTAGAATCCAGTCTTCTCCCCTTAGAAGTGCTATTAAGGCAAGCGTTCATGTGCTGAACACTCACTGTATAAAAAGAATCTGTTGCAACGTTTTTGTTCTCTGTTGTAGGAAACAGCCTGACCAAATACATTGAGAAATTGGAAGAGATCAAGAGAAGTGAGTAATGGATGGGGAGTGGGGGGGTAACTCTAAGGGGGGTTGTTGAAAGGAGTTTGAATCCTTGCGCCTTCAGTTTGGAAATAATCCGCTCAAGGGATTTGGGCATAGCTCCCAAGAACGAGGAGCAACAAGCGTGCAGAGGGTGTGGTGCAGAGCTAATGAATCATAATCTCTTTGCGGTGTCTGTCCTGTTTCTGCAGTGAGCACTTGTAATTCCCCACTGTGACTGCCCACATCCTCGACAGTTATGCTTTTAAATCAGACACCAGTGGAGAGAGATCTTGGAGCTCCTCCAGAAACTGGGGAATGCCTGGTGCATATCATGTTACCGAGGAGAAACGAGGATGTATTCTGGGAGAGAGGGACCACATACAAAAACTTCTGATGATGGAGAAGATCAGTTCACGACCAGCTTGGGGATGCAGTCTCTTGACAGTTGCCTAAATTTAATCCTAAAGCCACCCTGGTCAGTCAGTCTTAAAAGGGCAGGTGTTATTTAAGCCCAAACTACTGCTTTTAGGCTATATGTTGGCTTACTCTTGCCTTCTGCAGAATCTTGGCAATTAAGTAATTTCTTCTCTGATCTTCTCCTCTTCCTTTTCTGAATTATCTATACACCACGGCCACTGGAACGTGAGCTCACACAGACTTAGAATCATAAAATCATAGGGTTGGAAGAGCCCTCAGGAGGCCATTGAGTCCAACCCCCTGCCCAAAGCAGGACCAATTTCAGCTCAATCATCCCAGCCAGGGCTCTGTTTAGCCAGGACTTAAAAACCCCTAGGGATGGAGAACTCTGTTAAGCCAGGACTTAAAAACCCCTAGGGATGGAGATTCCACCACCTCCCTAGGGAACCCAGACCAGTGCTTCCCCATCCTCCTAGGGAAATACTTGCAAAACAGCAAGTAGTCTTGCACACAGGTTAGAGACCAACAAAAAAAATGTAGATGGTATCATGAGCTGTCATGGGCACATGAAAGCTCATGATACCATTTACATTTTTTTTGTTAGTCTCTAAGGTGCTGCAGGACTACTCACTGTTTCGTAAGGTGTTTTTTTCAGATAACAGACTAACACCACTGCCCCTCTGAAAATCCTAAGGAAATAGTTTTTCCTAATATCCAACATAGACCACCTCCACTGCAACTTAAGACCATTGCGCCTTGTTCTGCCATCGGTCACCACTCAAAACAGCCTCTCCATCCTCTTTGGAACCTTCCTTCAGGTAGTTGAAGGCTGCTCTCAAGTTCCCCCTCCCTCTTTTCTAGTGTACACTAAATAAGCCCAAATCCTTCAGCATTTCCTCATAGGTCATGTACTCCAGCCCCCGAATCACTTGGCCAGGTCTGCCAATGAGCTTCTTTCCAATAGAGGAAGTATTAAGGATGATCGCCCCCGAATCACTTGGCCAAGTCTGCCAATGAGCTTCTTTCCAATAGAGGAAGTATTAAGGATGATAGACAAACTGTTCTGCAGGAGTGGTAGGACACACTTATGCTAAAAATAGTGAACCTAAGCCGATTGTAAATGGCATAACTAAAAGTGCTCCCTCTACTACCTATACTATCTTTAGAGTTAAATGGCTTTTGCTTCTACTTCAGCTTGTTGGCTGCTTAAACCTGAGGCCTTGTTTCTGATGTAGTTAGACTTTTAATGGGACACTTTTTTAAAGTATAAACGAGCCATGTTCCTCCCTGTGTAATCCCACAGGAGTCAGTGGAGGTATGATGGGGTGGATTTGTCCCAGCATATTTAAACTCTTTAGATATTGAGGCTGATGAAAGTCTAACTTACCCCTTTCCATTTAGTGTCTTTCTATTGCATTTCACTCACTTTTGCTTGTGAAACTAAACTAGTCACTAGCACTGGTTTAGTGCATGGGAAGGCAGAAAAATTATTTAAATCCCTAGAACTCTGCTTTTATTGAGAGATGAAGAAAACATTCCAAAATGCTCCGGTGATTAGGATTTTGTATGCCTATTTTCAGGAGCTTTTCACTATTTTATGCTGTCCCTTCAACATCAGAGAGTTCAAATTACAAGAGAGATCACGTATCTGAAATAGAAAAGTGTTTGTGGCTGAGTTGGTAAAAAAATGTTCTTTTGCTTTATGCTCCCTCAGCTGTGTTTTTAGTTGTGAGTCTTGTGGTAAAGCAAAAAGGAAAAGTATCTTGTTTCATGATATCTGTAGTTGATCAATTGACTGAGATTTCAGAATGTAAAAAGCAGTGGCAGTGCAGTGGTTATCTGTCCCACAAATCTTGTTGTGTTGCTGCCTTCAGTTTTAAATCCTGCTGTGTATCTAATTTCCTTTTGAGCTGAAGGCTTCTTGTTTAAATCCCAGTTCTAGAGCACAGTAGAGGTTTTCTCCTCACATTTGTGCTGAATGGGTACCTTGTGTTCCTGGGCAATTTAGAAACTATTTTTTCCCCTTGATTTCTCATGGATAGATGACACCAGTTGGACAAACATTCGCTGCCTAGTACAGTCAATTCTCTGTCCCTTGTGTAACTTGAGAGAATAAGACTCAATATTGTAAACCAACTGGGGGATCAAAACTAATAAGAGAGCTGATTTTTAGTCCTTTGGAGCAGAGGGTTGAGAGAAGTTGCTGCAAGATCTCATCCATTCTTAAATACATATTGCTTCTCTCATTGCTGAAACCCAAGGAAACTGGGCTTTGTAAATCTTTAGTAGGACAGTTACAGTTGAATTCCAGATCCTTAATTCATAATGTCAGAAAATCCAAATGGATCTTCCAAGACAGAACCAGGTACGTGGTTTGATATTGCAATGAGAATCAGCATTTTCCTGAGCTTTCTTATGGTGCTCCAATTCAAATACAGATTCGGTAAAAGCGATAGCCCTCTGTGCTCACACAGGAATTCTAACTGCTGAGGGGTAGAACTAAGTCATAAAGGCTTGTGACCGCTGCTTTTTGTGTAAATAAACCTAGTGTGAAGAAGGTTAAACACCATCGAGTAGTTGCAATGTTTCATTATTAGTCATTAGAATACAAAAGATAAGGATCCATTGGCTCGGATACGTAAGTCGTCAAAACCTTTTTCTTACACTATAATTGAACTTTGATATCTTTGCATCTTTCATCAAGACAACTGAATCTCAGGTGCCATCTCAGAGCCTTGCTTGGGGAGACAAATTACATTAACACTAGGGAGGGCTGAGATGTGTTGCATCAGGCAAGAGAAGTAGGCTGTTCAGAAGAACAATGTTTCCATTAGTTGTGAGTGATGTTGGATTTTGAGAGACTGGCTAATAATCAACATGCAGGAGGTGGCTTAATGGTCTAAGCATAAGGCTTGAAATGTCTAGTCCTGTTGGAACCACAGGTTACAATTTCACAAGAGTCATTCTTAATCTTTCATGCGTCTACGGGAGCTTATGTGCAGGATTTGACTTCTGTGCCGATATTCACAGAAGAACTGTAAAGCCAAGGTTTTGAAGACATGTTAATGGACACTATGGTCACCTTTGTAAGAGGGTGGGTTTTTTTGTTTTGTTTTGTTTTTCTGCTCCACGTTGGCACAGACCTGCATGGAGCAGTTAGCACCTTGTAATTATTCCCCATGTTCTCACAGATCCTGCGTAGGGCAGGATGCTGAAGCTGTGGACTCTGCCAGCTGTACGGGAATGGAAATGGCCAGCCAAATCCCTTTCCCGGAAGCAGGTGTTTTAAGCGAACAGTGGTGATAGAGAGTTTTAAACTGTGTATGTGAAAGCTCATGGGGTCTGTCATGTGACTGTCAGGCTGAAAGGTACCGGAGACCAAAGTTTTGCTTGGCAACAGAATGACTAGAGACACTGGCTATACAAGGCTTCCCCCACTCCCATCTCCATATGTAACCCGGATATGTGGATTATGCAGGGAGTTCAGTCTCCATTGCCAACTTAGTCTGTTAGCAAGAGAACTGACTATAAGTTAAATCTTGCTAGTCTGGCACCTTTGGGATCTAACTGGTGCCGAACCAGAGAATTTGCTGAACCTCAGAGGTCAGTACTGTCTAGCAGCACTACCAACACTTCCACTGCTTGCGGGGCTTTTAGAAGAGATTTAGGGGTAAATGAGAGCTAAATAACAGCACAGAACATGGAGAGCCAGGACTGGTAGCTATAAACAAACTTTATGACTGAGAAACTTGGCCACACCCATGATAAGTGGACATCTGGGTAATTAAAATCATGCCAGATCACAGATGTTGCCGAGCTAGAGAGGTTCAGCCTGTAGAACTAATTCTCTTGGTGTTTTTTTGTTGTTGTTGTTGTCTGGTGGGATCTGGCTTGAGACCCAGCAAAGTTCTTCACATAAATGGATTACTCAACCGATGGCTTACTTCTAAGTTCCTACCAGCCTGGATTTGATAAAGGGTCTGCCGTCTGTTATCAGTCCCCAACTGGTGTGAGCTTTCTGGGATCTGTTCTTAAAATTATTAACATTCTTCTGACGATCATTCCCCGACTGTGACGGGGAAGAAGTAAAGGGACGGAGGGATGATTGGCTCTGATGTGGTTTTCTTGCCAGGCTACGAGCCACAGAGGGTGGCTGTGGGAAAGAAACATGAGTTCTGAGTGCAGAATCCTGTGTAACAATAGCAGATCCTAGAGATGGTACAGGCGTAGTAGGGTATCTGTCCAGTGCATCCCCCCTGCCACTGTAGGGTGGTTGTTCCTTACGGGAAAGTCTCCAGTGCTCTCTCCTGTCTAATTTAAATACCCCAAGGAATGAGGCTTTGACAGCTTCACCTGGGAGAGTTTCACATCCTAACAGATTCACAGCAAGAAGTTTTTCCTGATACTCATCTTACATTTTCCTTTCTTACCTTCACCCCCCAGCTTCTCTTGTATCACACTAAAGAATTCCTCCTCTCCTTGGTGAGGACTCGTCTCAAAGATTTGTCCATCTGGTGTGGTGCCCCTTAGCCAGATGATCTATAGTTAGCTCTGTTAATCTTTCTTCATAACTCAGTCCCTCTGATTCCTTTTGTTGCGGTTTGACTGCCTCTCTAGTGCTTACGTATAGTGAGTCCAAGATCTTTGTGGGAACAACGGTTCCAGCCCTGAATGCGGTGTCCACATCAGAACCGTACAATGTTCACTTGCTTGTACTCTAGTGCCTTGTGAGAATCACACTTCTCTCATGTAGATACTCATACAGATATAATCAATGGGCTCCTAGATTTGGCTTCTATTTAAAATTAAGTAGGAAGACTGGAAGCATTTTAACCATTCACTTGCAAATTATTACTTTCTTAAATATTTGCAGTCGGAATACTTCTGATCTCTCTCTTGCGACAAACAATGCATGGGATAAAAATTCAGGTCATAGGGACCTCGTCTGGGACTTAAGAGGCTTTGCAGCAACAGTAGGTTTGAAGCAAAATAACTGGGGAGATTAGCATACGAAAGTTAAGGAAGCTTGGTGGGGAGAAGTCTGACTGGGGTAGTGTCCTATCTATCCGAAGAGTGCTGAATTTAAGAACTTTTGCTGTTCTGGGGTAGTGGAAATAACTCAACCAAGCCTCCCTCGGGAAGTGTGTATTAGGACAGTATCTGTCCTAGGTGTAAATTCTTTTGGGACTGTCAAGTTTATTCTGACTCCCATCAGTTACAGCAGCCTGTCACCCAGAAATTCTAGTCTTTGCAGGTTAGATGCTCTGATAATGGTTCTTGCTAATCATCACAGTTTAGACGCTGTGGGAAAATTCTCACACTTTTTTTTCCTTAAAGATTACAGATACAAAAAAGATGAACTCTTCAAGAGGCTGAAAGTGACTACTTTTGCCCAGCTGGTACGTACAACTCTTCCAGCTGGCTTCTGAAAATTGCCTGTTTGTGATGCGGGTCTTGTTATCATCCCCCTTTATTGTGGTGTGTTTGCTGCACATGAAGCTTTTTCTGGCTAACAGACTGTTGCCATTCTCTCCTCTCCCGTCCCCCCTGTACACACTTGGTTTTTTATATAAAGTAAATCACTTTTAGGCCATAATTTTGAGCACCCTTTGCTGCCACTGAAGTCCGTGGAAACAGAGTTGTCAGTGCTTGGATGTTTTAAGGTAGGGATTCCAAATTAGTGAATGCTTCAAATACGCTCAGTTCTAACCATCTGTAAAATGAAGGGGGATTCTGAATTAGTGAATGCTTCAAATACACTCAGTTCTAACCATCTGTAAAATGAAGTTGTAATAATAAGGCAGCCTTAGGAAGGTGCTTAGAGATTAGGGATGTAAGCGAGTAGTCAAGTCACTACTCGAGTACTCACTCCCCCTCCCCCCGCCCCTGCTCCCTCTGTATCAGGGGCAGGAGTTGGTGTTGTGGGGAGCCAGCTTAAAAGCCAGTTCTCCTCAGTACCATCTCTGTGGCGTAGGGAAGGCAGAGCAGCAGCAGTCCTGGCTCGTGTCAGTCCTAAATTAATGGAGATTGCCTATCTCCTAGAACTGGAAGGGACCTTGAAAGGTCATCAAGTCCAGTCCCCTGCCTTCATAGCAGGCCCAAGTACCATCCCTGACAAATTTTTGCCCCAAATCCCTAAATGGCCTCCGCAAGGATTGAACCCTGGGTTTAGCAGGCTAACGCTCAAACCACTGAGCTATCCCTCCTGGCTCGGGCCACCCCCAGGAGCTAACCCTGCAGTGGCTCTTACTTGGGCCACCCCCAGGAGCTAACCCCACAATGGCTCTTACTACATTTATATTTAAAATGCAGAGCCTCAGCAGCAATAGCGATGCCCCTTCCCCCATATCGACTAATCGAGGTGGTTGATGGAAATTCCATGGACTACTCAATTAGCCAGTTAACCGTTACTTAACATCCCTATTAGAGATTCCCTAATAAAGGGGGCTGTATAAAATATCATTTGAATATGATTAAATCGTGATTTTTAAACAAACAGTCACTGCAGGCAGTGTTCAGTTGAATAATAATTCTTAACAGTGGGAAGGTCATTATGTGAAGGGGTTTTTGTGTGTTACTTTGTAGAAAAAATACAACATACCAAATAAAGCAAAATATTAAAAAGTGAAACAAAGCATAATTAGAAAATACAGAAGGCCAAGAGCATGGGAGGTCTGCGCTGGGCCAAGGTAACTAGTTAAAACCTGAAAGGGAAGCGACTCCTTCCTCTCTCCTTCCTAAAGTAGAATGTAACTTTGCTTTTAGTAGAGGTCCTGTCCTGGAAACCTTATATAAGGTTCATTCCATCGTCTTCAGCAGGTTGAGGGAGAGTTGGGTTCCAGCAAGACTCTTGTTCCAGGTTTATTATTGTTTCCTACAGGTCATCCAGGTTGCTTCTCTCTCTGATGAAACATTAGAAGTGTCAGCGGAAGAGATCCAAAAGCTGGAAGGTAATGATCGTTACGGAAGGGCACTTGGGATGGGCTGCTTCCCAGGGTTTGACCATGAGCCGTGTCCTCTGAGTCTGGAGCTTAGCATCTTAGAAAACATCCTGCTAGTAAACTCACTTGACAGCTTGCTGAATATTGTCTGATTGGAGAGAAAACCGGTTCAGTTTGTAGCCCACAGCTGTTTCACCCTGGACTATGAGCTTATTAAGCTCAGCAGGTTTGGATCTGGTCCATTAACGGATCTGAGCCATTAATGATCCCATGGCCTCTTTTACAAAGATTAAAGGGCTGGCCCTATTTTTCTAATCCTAATTCTCCGAATGTGTTTGGTTGATATGCCCAGTAGTTTCTATTGAGTGTCAAAAAGGCAAATAGGATCCTAGGAATTATTAAGAAAGGGATAGAAAATAAGACAGTTTTATACAGGGGCAGTAAGATATTCTATGATATGCTCACTGCACTGCTGCACTGTTCTGAGATGTCTGGCTCCTGGGTTTGGTTTGGCCCATTCCCGAGAGGAAGTATTAATTATAAAACTCCAGATCTGTGTTCAGTTGCCCAGAATTCTGCCATGTTGAGAAATGGGGTTTGATCCAGACCCATCTATTGCCTCGATTCGGCTTTGTGTTTCTTAATGACACTCTCGGCTCTTTGGAGAGAGCGCAGCGTCTTCTACGTCCGATTAATAACACGCACGGACTCCTGCAGAACACACACTTCTAAGAATGGAGTTTGATCTTTGCATTTACAAATAAGTGAGTGATCCATCCACAAGCAACTCACGCTTCCATTATCTTGTAGATGGCGATGCTGCTGTTTTAGAGACTGATGCTGAACTCACCGTTGGGACTAATGGGAAAGGAAGTCCCACTGAGAAACCACCCAGTCCGGTCCTGTTCATAAACAACACGGGGGCCGGGGAATCGTATCGGTCTACTCTGCAGAGGTACCTGAGAGCAATGCACACAGGACAGCTTTCCTTCCCCACCTACTATATTTCTCCAGTTCTCCCCTCCCCTCCAACTGTAGTGTACTATACCTGTCCCTTCCAGAGGTCTCTATGCTACGTTTCCCGTTCAGTCTTTCATGCACCTGTCATCAATTAACAGTTAATCTCAAGGAGATCTCAGGTGACGCAGACCCCATCTTTTGCCAGGAGTGTTTGTTTGCAAATAATTCATTGTTGCCCTTTTGGTCACCACAAAATGTCCCCAAGTTTGGAGTTAGAAACCCAAGTGCCACAGGGTTGGGGTTGGAGTAGGAGGCAGAGCTTTTCTGCTTGGAAACCTGGATGCCACAGGGTTGGAGTAGGAGGCAGAGCTTTTCTGCTTGGAAACCTGGCCTGGCTGGTTGTAACTGGAACGATTACGGTCTAATGGAGAGCTGTCCAGGGACCGACCTGATAGGAGAGCATGTGACTCCGTCCAAATCCTCCCATTCACAAATGTGCATCCCAACCTGCCACCACCAAATGGAAACGAACGTGTCCTTGTTGATGGCTGAATGGAGGGGCCAATGATCGGACCGTGGAAACAGCTCTCTGCTTTGCTCGACATGGTCCCTTCCAGGGACATCAAAGGTGCATTAAAAAGAAGTAGGTGGAATTTGGTGCCACCACTACCCACAGGGCTGTACCTCTCTGGGTTAATGGAGGATTTGATTTTCAGGGTTGTCAGGCTGGTACCTTGTGTACTTTGATAACCAGAGCATCTCCAGTAGGTTGCCTGGATAGACCCATGGACAGTCCAGGGGTGTGATCACCACACAGGGCAATAATTTTTGATTGGGGGGAGGAGCTACTCAAAGATTTTTTTTAGTAAATGGTCAAGGGCCGTACTTTTCTATGAAGAGGGTGCAGAAGGGAGCTCGGGGTAGGGAATTAGGGTGCAGTAGAGGGTGTGGGGTCTGACAAGGTGTTTGGATGAAGGAGGGGGTTGTGCCCTGGGGCAGGAGACTGAGGTGCAGAGTCAGGGAGGTGATATGGGTGCAGAAGAGGCTTCTGACCTCGAGGAACGGTGCAGGAAGGGGTGCAGGGTCTGGAAGGGAGTTGTGACCCGGGGGTGAGGGTGCAGAGGGTTTAGGTGGTGACCTGGGGCAGGAGATTAGGGGCAGCAGGGGGTGCTGGGTTGGGGAGAGGATATGGGTGCAGGAAAGAGGGTGCAGAAGGGAGCTCGGGGTAGGGAATTAGGGTGCAATAGAGGGTGTGGGGTCTGAGAAGGTGTTTGGATGAAGGAGGGGGTTGTGCCCTGGGGCAGGAGACTGAGGTGCAGAGTCAGGGAGGTGATATGGGTGCAGAAGAGGCTTCTGACCTCGAGGAACGGTGCAGGAAGGGGTGCAGGGTCTGGAAGGGAGTTGTGACCCGGGGGTGAGGGTGCAGAGGGTTTAGGTGGTGACCTGGGGCAGGAGATTAGGGGCAGCAGGGGGTGCTGGGTTGGGGAGAGGATATGGGTGCAGGAGAGGATTCTGGCCTGGGGGAGACCGGAAGAGGTGGTGCAGAGTCTGGGAAGGAATTGTGGCCTGGGGCAGGGAAATGGGGTACGGGAGGGAATGGGATACCAGAGGCAGGCTCTAGCCGGGAGGCGTTAGGCAGCACCCGGCCAGCAAATGAGCAGGTGCCTGTCTCAGGGTCTCAGTGGAATTGGCTGGATCCAAAGGCTTGGCAGGCCGAATCCCACCCATAGACTGTATCTTTCCCATCCCCTGATATCGATCGCCACACTTGAGCATCTCGTCTCCAGCTTAGTGATGGCGTGCACAATCTGTGCAGCGTGCAGCTGGGACGGACTGTGAACAAACTACCGAGGTCTCCATTTTTGGTACCCTATAGATGTACTAGAACTTTCAACCGTTCTTCCCTCGGCACAATCGTTCCGAAACCCTTCTTGTGTTTTAGCGGTACTGAGTACTCCCAAACCCGACTCTGGGCCTGCGGGAACGCAGCCCCTATGAAAATAAATCTTGTAGCACTTTAAGAAGAAATGTTAAGGAAAAATCCAAAGATCCAATCTCTAGCTGGTTCATTTGACTTAATGCATTTGGAAGAAAAGTGGCGATATTCTTTTCAGTCATCTTAGGTGGTAATTGGTCATGTTGGGCTTTGAATGGCTCAGGAAGCAACTGAAAAACACCCTGGTCTTTAGTACAGCTGAGCCGAAGTGCTCACAGAAGGAGAGTGTGCGTCAGACTCTGCTCTCTTTCCTTTTGCAGTGTGATCAGCGGCGTAGGGGAGCTAGACATAGACAAAAGCCTGCGGAAGAAACCCGATGCTAATGAAAACGTGAAAGACCAGCCCTATCCGGACTGCCCGTTCCTGCTGCTTGACGTACGAGATCGAGATGCCTATGACCAGTGTCATATCGTCGGAGGTAAGGGAGGCGGCCACCACAGGATTTCCTGAGCCTTGGTCCGTGTCAGCTGTCTGTCTGATTCATTCAGCGCTTCTTGCCCTCCAAAGGATGCAGCAGAAGCAACGTTCTTTCGCTCTGGAGTCTGGAAATTCCCATGCAGAGCCCTGCCTGGCCAGCTGGGGCTGGGAGCATACAAGGGAGAGCAAAGAGCGGCTGTCAGCTGATTGATACTCAGCCTGTGTTCCCTGATAGCGGAGCCCAGTCCTGACCCTGTCCTTTCGCTGGGGAGGTCGGTCTGTGGAGTGTTGAGAGCCCAGCGGAGCCCTGTCCTTTCGCCGGGGAGGTCGGTCTGTGGAGTGTTGAGAGCCGAGATCAGGGTGTGGTAACTGTGCCTTGAAATCTGCCTTCTGTGCTCTGACAGGTCCCCGCCAGGTCACTGAATTGGGATGTTTGGTAGCAGTTCATTCCCTAACCCATGCCTCTCTTGTCTCCGCAGCTTATTCCTACCCCATCGCCACGCTGTCCAGAACCATGAACCCTTATACGAATAGCATTCTGGAATATGTATCCTTTTGAACACATGCTGCTCTAGAGAGCCAAGGACTTGGCAGAGAAACTCTGTGCTTTCTGCCCGGAGTGAGCAGAGCCAGCTGCTTCTCCCATGAAGTCCATGGCAGTTTGTGACGTCAGCAGATCATGAGGGGGTCCTCCTGGGTAGACAGGGATCACCGGATGTCAGAACTGTGTGGAACTGCTGTCAGAGAGGGGTGCTCCGCACTTGTCGTTTGCAAAGCCATGGGCTACAGTGAGTCTCTGCGCTTCTCAGGATTAGACCCTTTTGTGCTGGTGTGTGGACGAAGGCTTTTATGCGACACCCAAGGGTGAGGTACCATACTCTTGGGCTGAGGCGTTAAACAAAGAGCATAAAAGCGGCCATATTGGGTCAGACAAAAGGTCCATCTAGCCCAGTGTCCTGTCTGCCAACAGTGGCCAGTGCCAGGTGCACCCTGAGTGAATGAATAGAACAGGGAATCATCCAGTGACTAACACCTGTTGCCCATTGGCTTCTTCCTCTGGAAAGTTTAGGGTTTGGTGGGCCACCTCCCAGTCTATTGACTTCCACGCCCCTGAGGGGGAAGGGATGGCTGTGTAGAATCACTCCTTCCTGTCAGCGCCTGTGTTTCTACACAACCAGCGGAAGAATGGTGGCCCTGGTCATACCGGCAAGGACCTTGAGGGTTTTTGTCTTCTTCTGCAGCATGGGGTGTGGGCCACTGCAGAGGCCTTGGAGCACCTCAGTCCCTCCTATATGCTGCCGATGACACGCAATGGTTTAGTCTCTGGAAGGCAGTAGTACTTGAGGGTAACTCTAGTTGTTGGTCTGGGTGTGACGGGCTGGATGGTGGCGGTGGCCTGTGATATACAGGAGGTCCGACTGAGTGATCCGATGGTCCTTTCTGGACTTAACATTGGTGGGCTTGTTGACCCACACAGTGCTACCGTGTGTCAATGCCAACAAGGAGGACGGTAATCCAGCTCCACAAGGGACAGCGGCTGGGCTTCTGTTGACCTTGCGCTGTCTACACTGGCTGTTGAGTTGACTTTACACCCCTCAGCAACGTAGCTTTGTAGTGTAGACTAGGCCTGCGACCCTAGGATTCCTCACAGGGCTTGAGCCCCGGAATATGAGAGAGGTTTTTACCTGTCCTGACTGTCTAGGAGTCCCAGTCACTTGCAAAACTGGACTTAACGGGGGTGGGGGAAGCAGTCGAGCTTAATAAATAGACAGCAAGTCAGGTCCTCAAACCTAACTCTTGGCTGCCTTCTAGTTGTGTCTGCTTGTCCCGATCCCTTATGTAGCGGGAAGAAGACGCCATCAGCCATCGAATTCAGGTTAAAAGTTGAATTTAAAAAAAAATGGTGGCTCTTTAACATCCCTGCCCATCAGAAAAACGCTTCTGGGAAGATTATCATCCTGTATGATGAGGACGAGCGGCTAGCTGGCCAGGCCGCCACGACCATGTGCGAGAGAGGTTTTGAGAACTTATTCATGTTATCCGGAGGTGAGGAGCTTTCCTTTGGTGTCATGACTGTGGGGGACTCGGCTTCAAGTGAGAGTTGGGGGAGAGACTTGCATGGGAGACAGGGACAGAGCTAAACACACCACTCTGCGTGTTACCATCCTGGGCAACAGAGCCCTAGCCGTTCCAGGAGGGTAGCCCATCGTTTAGCTTCACCTTGGCCAGTATCTTCGAGATTTTAAAGAATGCTCCCACCACTCAACGTTCTTAACACTGGGACATCAGCCCTGCTCACAGCGGGTCAAGAGAACCTAGGATTTCTTTTTTTAAAGCCAATATCTGATTTATACCAAATGCTCCTCCTGTGTTCTTGCTCTTGCCATGGCTAGCACCACTGGTGCTAAAGTCTGAATGGGGGAAATCTTCGCTAACTTTGGTGTCGTTGGGGGGAGATCAAATGTGATCATGCAACTTGTTTTCACTTGCCCGAAATAGATAGCTCTTTAACTCAAGCCACCAGCGGTGAAAGGTTGGTGTCAAATCCACCCCACTTCCTGATTTCCATGACTTACACTTTCCACACTATGTAAATAGCTTCCACCTGGGACACATAGCCTCTGTGTGCTCTAAGCAAGTCTAAAGAGCCCGTCATGTTGGGACCTGGGAATCCTGGCGGAAGTTGGCTCTTGTAGCTCTATTAACATCCCCTATGTGTGTATGATAAGGTGGTGGAGAAATATAAGAGTGGCCACTCTAGGGGTACATCTAGACTATGTCCTTTTTTGAAAGGAGATATGCAAATTCAATGCCGAATTTGCATATCTTCTTCTAATCGATTTTTCAAAAGCGTTTTTTGCCAAAAGTGAAAGCTGTTTAGACGAGTTTTTTTCCCCCCAAAAGAAGCTCCCTTTTTCAAAAGAACACTTCTTCCTTAAAAAATGAGGTGTACAGGGTTCTTTTGGAAAAAACCTTGTCTAATCTACTTTCACTTTTGAAAAAAACACTTTTGAAAAAGTGATTGGAAGATATGCAAATTAGCACCAAATTTGCATATCTCCTTTCGAAAGAAGAACTTAGTCTAGATGTACCTTGGGTCAGACCAAAGGTCCATCCAGCCCAGTGTCCTGTCTTCTGACAGTGGCCAATGCCAGGTGCCCCAGAGGGAGTGAACAGAACAGGGAATCATCCAGTGACTGACAGACAGAAGCTAGGAACATGGTTCCTAACCATCCTCGTTAATAGCCACTGATGGACTTATCTAGTTCTTTTTTGAACCCTGTTAAAGTCCTGATCTTAATGTCCTTTGGCAAGGAGTTCCACAGGTTGACTGTGCATTGTGTGAAGAAGTACTTCCTTTTATTTAAAACCTGCTATATATCAATTTTATGTGGGGACCCCTAGTTCTTGTGTTATGGGAGCAAATATATAACTTTTCCTTATTTACTTTCTCCACACTGGTCATGATTTTACAGACATTTATCATATCCCCCCTTAGTTTCCTCTTTTCTAAGATGAAAAGTCCCAGTTTTATTAATCTCTCCTCATATGGGACGTGTTCCTTTTTTGTTGTTGTTGCTGTTGCCCTTTTTTGAACTTTTTCCAATGCCAAAAAACCTTTTTTTTTTTTTTTTAAAGTTGAGGCGACTACATCTGCACGCAGTATTCAAGATGTGGGCGTATCATGTTTTTTTTTTTTATAGAGACAATAAGATATTTTCTGACTTATTCTTTATCCTTTTTTAGTGATTTCTAACATTGTTTCCTTTTTTGACCTAATACTGCACATTGAGTGGATATTCTCAGAGAACTATTCACAATGACTCCAAGATCTCTTTCTTGAGTGGTTACAGCTAAATTAGTCCCCATCATATTGTATGTATAGTTGGGATTATTTTTTCTAATGTGCATTACTTTTCATTTATCAACATTAAGTTTCATTGCCATTTCGTTGCCCTATCACCTAGTTTTGTGAGATCCATTTGAAGCTCTTCAGTCTGCTTTGGTCTTAACTATCTACAGTTTGGTGTCATCTGCAAACTTTGCCACCTCACTGTTGACCCCTTTCTCCAGATAATTTATAAATATGTTGAATAGGATTGGTCCCCGTATGGACCATTGGAGGACACCACTAGTTATCGCTCTCCATACTGAAAATTTACCATTTATTCCTACCCTTTGTTTCCTGTCTTTTAACCAGTTCTCAATCCATGAGATAACCTTCCCTTTTAGGGGAATACTTAGACTTTTATTTTCCTTTTTACACTTTGCTCTATATATTTCTATTTCCTAAGTCTGCTGCAATCTCCCAGGCCCTTTTGAGAGCCTGGATCTACCAACTGCTTTCATGAGACGTGCTGCTTCCAAGAGCAAAGTCTAGGAGCTAATCCTGCAAGGTGCTGAACCTCTACAACTTCCACAGCAACCTATAGCAGTCGAGGGAGCTCTCGGAATCTGGTGTCAGTGCCCCAGAAGTTAAGAAGAGGGATCTCTGTATCGGCGTCTCCTGAAACCTCAGCCCATAGTCCTAAGGCAGTACTATCAGTAGCTCTTCTCCTATCACTTCTGATCAAAAGATGAAAGTTCACTTAAGACTAACCAGTCCTCTAACTAACCGTATGTTCTATATTGTTTCTAGGCCTGAAAGTCCTTGCCCAGAAGATCCCTGAAGGACTAGTCACTGGCTCATTCCCAATGTCTTGCCAGTTGGCAACTTACCCTGGATCGGCAAGGAAAAGAGCAACCCCCCGAGGGACACCCACACGTGCTGAGAATAAATGGAGATTTACTGCAGAAGATCTACAAAAGATAGAATACTACCTGGAAGAGGAACAGATCCCCTCAGATACTGCCAGTAAGACCCCATGGCAAACAGTGGGACTGCTCCTGTAGTCCCTGTGCCTGCAAAACTCCTGTAGGCTTCCCCGGAGCTGGCTACAGCTCCATTTTTATAACTAGATCTCTGGGAAAAGGAAGTGCTTTTTTCACACTGACCAGAGTACACAGGCTAGAACCTAGGCCCTCGTGTATCATGCTGACCCCCTTTTCTTGTGTGAATTTATAGAGCACCAGAACTCCCAGTGAAGACAATGGAGGCTTTGTCTAAGTGAGGACTTTAGGATAATCCAGGGACCAGTGGACTGGCAGCCCTGTGCCATACATCATAGTACAGATTGAACCTCTCTAGTCCAGAACTCCCTGGTCTGGAAACTTCCGTCGTCCAGAATGAGTTTAGTTCGCCGGATGGCCACTTTTCATGGGTGTGGCCAAGTTTCCTGCAGGCCCATAAAATTTGTTCACAGCCGCCAGTCCTGGCTCTCAGTGTTCTGTGCTGTTTAGCTCCGATTAACCCTAAATGTTCTCTAACAGCCCAGTACGCAGTGAAAGTGTCGGTCATGCTGCTAGGCAATATTGACCTCCCATGGTCCAGAAAATTCTCTGTTTTCAAACCGGTCAGGTCCTGAAGGTTCCAGAATAGAGAGGTTCAATCTGTTTTTGTGACCAGGGCTGTCCTTACCCATAAGCAGAATGTGCAGCTGCATAGGGCTCCTGAAAATTTGGGGCACCGCTAGGGGTTAATTCCACCCACCTGCCTCTTTCTATCCCTGTTCTGTGGCTCTGCTTCCTCCAGAGAGGATCTAATTAACGCAAAAGGGAGAAAGCCGGCTGGAGCTAGTAGCAGCACATCCAACCTGTGAAAGAGCCATTCAAATGGGAATGAAGCCTTGTAACAGGCATGTGCCAACTCCCGGTCCATCCTTCTAGTTTCTGAATGTCCCGTGTTAGTCGACAAGATCTGAATTGAACATTTTCTTTACAGCTATTTCATGAGTGTCTGGCTAAAGATTATAAACTCACGTGTCTCAAAAGTCCGTCAGCCCCTCCCCCCAGCTGTCATTGGGTGCAGGAGCTCCCATTAGTAGTACTGCCCCATAAATCCGTTTGTAGCTACCTGGGAACCCTTATGACGACTTTCAGACTTTTCCAGTTCATTGGGCCTTTCACTAGAACCCTTCTATCTCCAGCCTCTTGCTGCACTAGTGTAAGGTGTGTGTCGCTGTAGGTCAGTGATGGGCATTGCTGTCTGCACTCCGCAGGGAGCATCCCCAGCCCGCTGAATGTCAGAGGAGTAACCCTTCCAACGGTATCCGAAGTGTAGTACTGAGGGGACACAGCGAAGGCCTTAGCAGCCCCCGAATGATGTGAGCGGGATTGGCTGGGAAGGTGATGAGCCAGGCACAGGCTGCGTGGGTGGGAGCAAGCATGGCCAAGCCCGCCGAGCCACCTCGCACCTTCTGAGCAAAATATTTCCCATCCCGTCTCCTTCCCGAGTGCCGGCAGGTGGCCTTAACTCTGGCTTTGGCTGTGGTGCTGCTGTGACCGGTTCAGCTCTCACCACACTAGGCTTGCACACTCCACACAGCCTGCCTCTCCGGGGATGGCTACACTGCAGTTAGAAGCCAGCAGCTAGCCTGTGTGACCCTCCAACATCTCAGGGCCCTTGAGCCCCGGCTCCAGCCAAACTGGGATATCTATGCTGCAGCTAAACAGCCTGGCGAGCCTGAGGCCGCTGGCATGGCCAGCCGCGGGTGTCTGACTGCAGTGTAGACACACCCTCTGGGCCCAGCATGCACCTGGCTCATTGAGGGAACATGAAGGGATGTTAGGTACCTGGGCTGGGTCTACCTGTCTGGACACAGTGAAAAACAACAGGGCAGGATTGCATCTGCACCCCGGCCTCTCACGTCAGCCCCGCCCCTGCCATCAGCCAAGGGAGACACCCCCTCCGGGCCGAGTGTCTGTTCAGCACAAAGTGACTTGGCTTCCTGTCGTCCTTCCACAGGCCGTCTCAGCCGGGCTTCCTCGGGCCGTGACTCTAAGGTGATGGCTGTAAGGAGCAGCCAGAGCCTC